TATATATATAAGAAATTGTCTTAGATAAAAAAAAATTAAAAAAATAGGGCAGGCCCACTTAGGTCCGGGACCGGCCCACTTAGCCCGGGACCATTAGTTCGTGGTCCCGGTCCTGGTCCGATTACCTCCAAAAGCCCACGAAGTCCGGGACCGTTTAAGCCCGACCCACGAAGCACGGGCCCACATAGGACCAGCTCACGAGGCCCGTTTAGGCCCAGGCCATTTGCCAACCTTACTCCTAAGGAGGGATTTTTGGTCATGACAATACCTTATTTTGATGTTTAAATGTTTATTTTTCATAAAAAAGAAGAAGCTCAACTTATAGGCTCAAAGCTGAAAATCTGAAATATCAAAATTGATTAAACCAAAACCGAACTGAAAAATCTAATCCGAGTTTATTTGATTTGAACTTGAATCCTTACGCTAAAGCTATCCGTAAGGTTGACCTAGCAAGCAATTCCAGACTACCCGAACACTCACCCCTAGTTATAGCACCATTACAAGAAGAAAAATCTTATCGAGCGTCCCTGAACTGCCACATCTTATACAGAACATGTATAAATGATTTCAAAAAAAAATTGCAACCGAGTATTTAAAGAAAAACTAAGGTTCAGAGATAGATTTCAACGTTTTAGACACAGCCTTATTGAGGAGTTTCCTCCAATCTCAAGCGTCGTTATGGCACCATTACAAGATAAATGTGAATTACATAAATTAACCAAGACTGAATCAATAAAGACACAGATCCTTATCTCTCAAATGCATCACCTCTAATAGAGTTAAAAGGACAAGTAGCAGCAGCAGCTATTCTCTCACGAAGGTTGAATTTGCTTGCAATAATCGGTCTAACGTCTTTAACTCCAACTAAGCTTTCCAGAAATGGGAGCAACGAGAGCAACTCTTTGTCAGAGCGGTCATCAAACCAGCTCTCAATTGGAATACCATTGTCCACCTGGAATCCAAATGCCTGAAAATAAAACCGTCTACCACATCAGTATAATAAACTGAAGAATGACATAATTCTACACAGGAATAAATTGCCTGCAAAAGCACATCAAGTACTCGAGCAGTTGTCAATTATTAACACATTACCAGATAAGATAATGCTCAAAGAAAGTGATCCAGTATGAAAATTCCATTATGAAGACAATATATAAGCTTTCATCAACCTATTTTTTAAAAGGTTTGTATTAAAGCTTTCAGCAATACTACCACGGAAGATTATTAGTTCAATCATTTTAAGAAACAGGAGAGGAAGCCCAACCATTAACAAGTTTCTTTCCAGCTTTCATGAACATGAAAGTTTAATAGCTCTTGTAATTGTTCATGGTGCAGGTTGCTTTAAAGAAGAAATCAAAGGAACAGAACTTATCATGTGAAAGAACCGAAAAGGACCAGGAAGAGCGGGGATCGGGAATCTTGATAAGGAAATAGTATTTAGCAAAGAGAGATTCTGTCATAGCACCTGTGGAGAGTTGTCGATGATAATCACATGTGCTAAATCACGGCCAAGAACTGACAGATCTTTAAGGTAATTGCCATCAACAAATACACATGACTCACGGTAAACACGATGCCTAAATACTTTTCTCTTTGGATCAAGCACATTCAGAAGCTTCTCAGCATAAATGCTTTGGCTTGCAGTAAATATGATAATCTCAAATAGGCTGGATACCCTATCCATAAAATCCCGAAGATGAGGACGGCATCGAACATATACATTATGATCTTTCAGGTTGAAATTCACCGAGAAAGTGAAATCTGCATCATCACAAGGTTCAAGTGTAGAGTGCACCAAGGTCTCTGTCAAATATATGAGATTAGAATCAGCTTAAAATGCCCACTAAGAAAATGACGAGTGTATGCTACGATTTGACTAGGAAACCTGAGTACATGGGTGAAAAGGAAAACAAGAATCATTGACTTTAGCACCCATGTCTGATGTACAACATAGGAGCATGCAATTCAATGTGCATCACATATTCACTTGGGCAATCAACAATGAACATGAATATGTTTACCAACATACTCCTAAAGGAATGGATGGCATCATCTTTCAACCTTGGTTTCTTTGGAGTTATCAGGGTAGATCCCACAATTTAAATGATATGCCTATAAAAGGACAGATAGCCTTGGTAGGATAAGGAAATATCCTTTCTTTTTAATCAGAGAGAGAAGGAATATCTATCATAGAGAATCTCCATCCACAAAAACGTGCAGAATGAAGGCCAACAACAAATCCAAGGGTGAAAGAAGCAACGCAACAGTTATAAAGGTTCCATCACTGTGTGTGTGTGTATAGACATGTTATTGTGTTCATCCGTGACCAAATGTCTTGTTTTGACACAGCAAGATTCTTAAGAGAAGAGTTGATATATAGATAGAAGAATACCTACGGATAACTATCATCCAAGGAGAAAAGGACACAACTGTCTAGAGAAAAATAACTGAATACCATTTTACTCTCGAGATATGTGCTAAAACTTTCTTTTTCCTTCAAAGCTGAACATTACTGGAACAGACCACCAAAGAAGAAAGAATTAATTTAGCATTAGGTATAGACTGCAATACCATCCAAGTCCAAAACAAGAGTGGTTGATGGGCAACTCCGTGTTTGTTTAGGCAACAGCACAGGCCGAAATGTTGGAACAACTGAGTACAAGTCTGGTAAATTCTTTATGAAAAAATATGGATCAAAGTCATCAAACTCTTCAGTTTCCTCTTCCTCCATACTAACATCAGCAGGCAACTGAACTTGATTAAATTCATCAATGCATTCAAGTTTTGAATCTTTAATAGAGAGATGCACAGCTGAAACTTCAGAGGAGATATGCTGGCCCCCTATATCTGCACAACAGCAACACATAATTAGCAATTGAAGAAAACATTAGAAGGCATATCTCAATTTTGACTAATAATGACTATCCTGTCTAACATAACCAGCACATGTACTATCACATAATAAACCATACTGGTAGCCTCGTCCAGCGCAAAATGACCTGTCAGCAGATCAACTTCTATATTTTCCTTTCCAGGCTCCTGCAATGGCTGGTCTGCTTGCTCGATGAATTTGGGTATGTCTGCTAAGGAAAAAATATGACCGGATTTTGAATGATATACAATAGATCAGAACATTAATTCACAGACCTACTCAACACTTAACTGCCAAAGCATCTACTTACCTCTGTTAGAAATTTCCCCTCCAATAGTTCTGGATATATGGAAGGTAGGAGAAAATATAGTATCATTTGTGCAACTATCAGTTTCAACATTATAGTCCTACATTAAGAAAAACAATAAAATAATATCCAACAAAAAACCATTCTAGTGCAATTCTCACCTCAAAGTATCTATATTAACAATGTGAGTTCATACTCCCAACAATACCACATGAAGCAAATGTAAATTGTTACCTTATTAATAGTAATAGTATTATATTCATGAACAACATCATGTGCGTCTGAAGCAGCAGAAGTGTCATCAGACACCAATCCAAATCTTACATCCAGATCTGTAGCAGCAACATAATTCTCAATCTTTTTCAAGAAATTGCTTCCTAAACACCCAATTATGATAAAAGTAAGGTAAGTTGCCACAGATAAATAAAGTGCTCTTCCAGGACTATATGAAATAAATAGGTAGAAGAGTCAACAGGAAAGAAGCTAATCACAATTAACTGGGAAAACACTATGCTTCAACTAGGACAATCAAAGGTCAAATCCCGCACCATAATCCAGTGATTGTTCCCGAGGAGAAGGGAAGCACACAGAGAGATACTCAGAATGGTGAAAGCATATGGCAAATCATTTCAATGCTAGTTCATAGGTCCAACTTGTGCCATTTTTTAAATTTTGATTCTTTTTAGATGGTAAATTTCTAGGAGAGAACAGTCAACTACATTCTACAGTGGCAAGTGAGATCAAAGAATAATATAGGTAAAACACCAAAAGAAAGCAAGAAGTATTTACCGACATAAATATGAAAAAAGTTTGATTAGACCATTACCACATCACAAGCACTTTGAACTAGAAGCTCTTTGACTTGGTAATATGTATATGCAAAAATTTATAGACAGATACTGTTGAAGCTTGAACGACAGAAAGAGCTACAAGCCTTGCTAATTTTTCAGATATATGCCCCAAATATCACGTTACACAAGCATCTTAAGCTAAAGATTAAATAAATCAAATTACTCTGTCCTCATAGGATGGGTTCCATATAATACTTACCTGATTTTTGCTTCCTCACTGTAGATGTTATAAGTTCCTTAACTTGCTTTGCCTGAGTTTGCACATTCTCGGACATCTTCCGCTGTTGTCTTGAAACCTTTGGACTAGCCAGCTCTCGTTGATTTCTTCCATTTAATTTTTTCTTAGTCTGCATATCTAACTACAGGATAGAGTCCACTCTGTAGATGCTTTAGTCCAGCTTTAATATCTGTGACAAAGAAGAATTGAATCACCCCCTTGTTCCAGTACACACAGTTTCCTGGAGAAGAATTGCAGTCAAGAAACAGATATTAGACAGTTTGTTAGAAGTTTTAGCTACGTAGAAGACATGATCATGAAAAGCATGAACAATTGTATAAAGCCATAGAAACCTGTCTACATGCATAATGGATAATGTCATTGTTATGTGCACAAAATATGTTATTCTATGCGTGAAAAAACTACCTTTACCTACCCCCCCCCCCCCAAAAAAAAAGCCTCAAAAAGGATAATTTTCAAGTATCTGAACAGCATATACACTTTGCTAAGAATTGAACAATACTAATTCCTTGAGACCATTGGCCTCACTGAGGATTTTGACCCAACCAAATAAACAAGCCATCTGATGGGCAATAGTTTTACTGTGCCTTCCAGCGAATGTAAAAACCATAGAGGAAAAAATGGATTTCTTGTTTCAGAATTACATTTACCATGTGTTGACAAATAAAGGAAGTTCATGAAATCAATTTCCACGCATAATTTAATCAATTTCGGATGACTCAAAAGCTTTAAGACTTTTGACCTTTTAAAGCCATTAACTTATTTTTTTAAAGCATGCAATGAACAACATAACCCCAAACATAGAAAATACTGATCCGAGGATACTTTAGATGATGTTTGCTAATCTTTTCATGGAATTAGAAGACTGCCTCTCTTATATTCTGCACGAACCTGCTCTTCTTGCTGCTCTATAATGTTATAACGTTTATCATTCACTCATTCTCAGGAAACACACTACAGCTCCATCTATTGCAAAACACTTATTGTGGGCTCTAAAAGTAAAGGACCAAAAATGTGTAGGTTATCCCTGAAACTTTAAGCCAAACCTAGTACAAAAGCTACGAAGTCCTGGATGCTTATCGAAATTTTACAAGATGCAGAATCAAAGAACACCATTCTAAGGCTAGGAAACAAAAGAGAGAAGCTTATATATGCATCGACTAATGCATCAATTAGCTTCCCCTATCAGATTTACAAGTAATTACTTTGGATTTCAATCTTTCATTTCTGCAGGTCAAACAATTGCAGCCAGTGAGCCAACTAAGAAAATCCTTTTATCTTTTTTTTTTTTTTGAGGGCAAGTCCATTAACTCTGAGTATGTGAGCGAAAATCCAGGCAATATGGTAGAGTTACCGTACGTTAATGACCAGCAGAAAAGTATATAAACGATGACGATTCCTCTGAGTATGACATGAATTGAACAAAATGGACATAGATGATTCACAGACGAAGTTGATTCATTGATTTTACTAGAGGTTCCTTTATGTAGCAAAACAGAACAAGACAAGCAGAAAGTAAATTTTAAATGAAGTGAAGAAGCCATTCAATTAATTTCAAAACCCTAAAACTGTGGTATCTGAACAGAGAAACAAACGTAGCAAACAGCAAAAAGAAAAAGGACTGAATCTTGATATAAGCTAAAAACGAGTTCAAAAATCCCCATACCTAAACTTTAAACTTGAAAAACACCACACCCCGAAAGCAATAAATTAGTTCCTGCAAGCATGGAAATATGGCCAGCTCAAGATAGTGAAGCATGGAAAGGAAAAATTAGGGTTTTACCAGCACAGAATCTGAAAGAAGATGTTTAATTTGGTGTTTGAACGAAAAAAATTCCCTCCAAAGACCGAAAAAGAAAAAAAGAGAGGGAAAACGGAAGACTAGCTAGCAGGAATCGAAATTTTTATAGTAATATTTTTGTCGGAAGATAAATCTAAAAAGGGAGGGGGGTTGAAGATAAATAAAAACATAATTAAATTATCCGTCATTACCTTGATTCTCGAGTTTGTCTGCCTACGGACTTTCTTCATTCTGTTTTACACGCGCTAGAGTTTCACCACTTCTATATATTCGCTTAGTTTTATTATTTTGACTAATCCATGTGGCCACAATGAGCTCAATATGGCAAGAACGGGGACAATTAAGACATTGCATATGGACATCGGGAGAATTATGGACACTTATCATTTTATTTTATTTTTGGCTCGTTTCACGCTTCCCTTAAACAGCTAGAGTTAACATAGTTTGCTTCTTTCTCTCATCAATATAATTATAAATTGTCTTTTTAATGCATGAAAAAAAAGAAAAACCAGCATGCCTAAGCATAGAAATCAGTGTAATTACTTGTGCTTACATACTTTTGTGTACGGATAAAATCGGGGATACAGTTACCCTGATTTTACGGTAAAGAACGAGAGGAAAGCACGATCTCTTATGGCCTCGAGAAAAATCGAGGGATTTCATGTCTCAGAGCCTAGGAAGGATAAATAGTGCACCCGGGACCGGATGCGGTCGAGATTGGACGCAAGCAGAATAAAGAGCCGAGACTAAGGGAAAAACGGTTAGACAAGATAAGCAAGGGGCCAAAATATCCGCCCTCAACCAGATATTACGACGCAAATCTCATCCGATAGCAACTGCGTATCAACGTTTACCGAAAGCAGAAGATTTTTTTACCTTATTTAGACTTATACTAGGATTGAAACTCCCGAACTATTTAATGGGGAGAACTTTTGTATTTTGAACACCATTGTTGGCACGCATATCAAAGCAATAAAGTTAATTTTTGTTCTTTAGCTATTGTTAAAAGTATTCTTCAACTGTTTGTTTGTTAAGTTATAACCGAGCTCGTTCCGAGGGTTGAATCGGAACAGATTTCCAAATGTCCACTGCAAAGCTAGACTTATTCATCCATTACATTTGGTTTGATCACTCTGATTTCCTTTAACTCAATTATTTATTGTTCATAGTTCATTCGTGTTAAATTAAATCAATTGTTACTCATTTTAAGGGTAAACAGTTTGGCGCCCGCCATGGAGCCAAGGATAATAGTGGTGATTTAATAAGAATCTCCATAACACGCCCTATTTTAAACTTGCTCCTTGAAGTTTGATTTCAAGTTATCCTAAAAATGTCAAATTCTCAATCTGCTCATTTGAACGTTGACGCCGAGTCAAGCCACCACGGTGAAAACAATAATGTGGTACCAAGCAATGACATAGCCATGTTGATCCTAATGGTCTCCCAATCGCTGACCCGGTCGACGCTAACTCACAAGTTGCCATCAATATCAACCTGCCAACTGATCCCGAAAATAGCATTCGCGGGGCACCCCAGCCATCGGCTCGAGAAGCACCCGAAGGGAAAGATGATGGACTTAGCTTACGAGGGTCGATCAGATCCCGGGAGCGCCTCCAATATTGAAAAGGTCGAATTCCAAAAAATTCATTCAGAAACCTTTCCCCCCGAGTGCGGTACCGAAGCCAATCCCGAAGAGATTTTGAATTCTCGACATTCCCAAATATAGCGGGACCACGGATCCAAACGATCATGTAACCTCCTATACATGCACAATAAAGGGCAATGACCTAGAGGACGACGAGATCGAGTCGGTGTTATTGAAAATATTTGGGGAAACCTTGTCCAAAGGAGCGATGATATGGTACCATAACTTGCCTCCAAATTATATTGATTCATTTGATGTGCTTGTAGAAGCCTTTGTTAAAGCCCATGCTGGCGCCATCAAGGTCGAGATGAGGAAATTTGGCCTCTTCAAAGTCAAGCATAGAGACAACGAGATGCTTAGAGAATTCGTGTCGAGATTCCAGATGGAGCGAATGGACTTGCCCCTGATCGTAGATGATTCAGGCATTCACTTAAGGGCTCAACCCCCAAAGTTCCATTGCTTCTCAACAATTGAAGCAGAACTTGGTGGAGTACCCGGTGGTTACTTGGGCCGACGTACATAATAGGTATCAGTCGAAGATCAGAGTCGAGGATGACTAGCTGGGGGACCCTCGGGGTTTGTTTACCCCAATAGAGCGAACGATGGATCTAAAAGAATTATGGACCAGGAGCCAAGGCCAGTCCGAGATCGGTATCAGCCATACAGCTCGGATAGAAGGGGAAACGAATCTGGTCGCCACCCAACCAAGAACGACAGGAGAAGCGACCAAGGACCTAGCAACCGGGATTTGATGAGTAAAAACGGTTTCGACAGATCACTTGGGGGAAGGTAAGCCTTGAGACTATCGGAATATAACTTCAGCGTGGACGTTGCGAGTATAGTAGGCCATTGGTCACATCAAGCAGACCACATGGCCTAGGCCAATTCAGTCCGATCCTGCACAGAGGGATCACAACTTGGTATGTAAATACCATGGTACTCATGGTCACATGAACGAATATTGTCGGCATCTAAAAGATGAAGTGGCTCGACTATTCAACAATGGGAATCTTCGGGAGTTCCTAAGTGAGTGGACCAAAAGAAATAGGGAGCGAACAAACAATTTGAGTAGGAGAAGTCTCAACACGTGATCAACATGATCATTGGGGGAGTGGATGTCCCATAAGGGCCGATGATAAAACGCACCAAAAGTTTCTATCATAAGGGAAAAATGCGCTAGGGATTACATCCCGGAGGGGTCCATCTCATTCAGCGATAGCATGCCGAGGGCATCATCCAGCCTCACTATGATGCACTAGTAATATTCGTACTTATCAATGAATCTCGAGTTAAATGTGTGTTAATTGATCTAGGTAGCTTGGAAAACATCTTCCAATGGAGAGTCGTAGAGCATTTGGGATAATTGTACCGAATCGCATCGGCAGTACGAGTACTGAACGGGTCCAACACGGCATGCGAGACGATGAAGGGTGAAATAACCCTACCAATAAACATTGTTGGGACCACCCAGGAAACAAAATGTCACGTGATCGAGGGGGTATGAGATACAACGCCTTGTTCGGGAGGATATGGGTCCACAACATGAGAGCGATGACTTTGACCTTACATCAAGCATTGAAGTTTCCCACTCCGGGTGGAATCAAAACGGTCTACGGGGAACAACTGGCAGCAAAGGAGATGTTCGTTGTCAATGAAGTGATCCCGGTGCCCGCGGTCACGATATCAAAAAGTAAGGACTGGTCAAAGAGAAAGAATCCAAATAGCAATCAACGGTCCCCACCCTGATCGAGCGGGGGAAATAGGAAAGGCACACAACAAATGAAGAGGATGACTACGGTGTCCCAAGATCCTTTATATCACCCGTTGATACTGATACCATCAAATCGACAATTGCGGAATTGGAGAAAGTCATACTAATCGAGTAACCAGATAGTAAGGTATACCTGGGCACGAGGTTAACTCCCGAGCTCAGAAAAAACTTATTGATTTCCTTAAAGCTAATGTCGATTGTTTTTCCTAGTCCCACTTAGATATGACAAGGATCCCACCGGAGGTGACCACAAATTGAGCTTGGAACCAATATTCACCCCGGTCAAACAGAAGAAGAGGCCGCAGTCCGAGATCAAACACACATTCATCAAAGACTAGGTATCTAAAATTTTGAAAGTAGGTTCCATTCAGAAAGTTAAATACCTAGATTAGATAGCTAACGTTGTCGTGTCCCTTTTTCTTATGAAATCGGGTTTCGGCGCGTGACAACTCTTTTAAGGAAGGTGATTAAAAGAGAGAGTCGCCACCTAACAGGTTTGGGGTGCGTTAGGACACCTATTTGCAGATAACTCTGGTTTAACCAATCTGCGTCACCAAATATCGGGTAAGGGCTCAAATTGCCTCAAAGAGAAGGTGTTAGGCACTCTTCAAGGTCCACAACTGTGGGTCCCGACCGAACTCGAATTATATGAATTAGTCAGACAAACAAAGACAAAGAAAACAAAAATTTATTATTAAATGATTTTAAATGAACAAAAGTAATTGATTTGAAGACAAGATGGGGGGTCCTAATTTTTTTAGCCTAAAGGATCACCCCGTGCAACATAAATAATACTTCGTAACTCCTTCGAGATGGGGTGTTACTCGTATTATTCAGCGGGCACAAACTATCATCTCCTATTACCCGATTACTATCTTTAAGTTGTTACCTAAGGCGCACTAATTGATTCTAAGTCGTACCTTATGCGTGCACTACCCGTCCCATGTCTATGGTCCAGGAGGCGGTTGGACCTCTATTTTGGGTGGTTCTAGACTTAACTTATGTTGCTCAAAATGAAAAAACTAGACAACATACAAAACAAGTTGGACTTCATGTAAAAGCAATTAAGGGCTCAAGTTAGCCTCCTCACTTAGACAACAAATGCACGCAAACAAATTAGGCGTTTGACAGTCTTAGAATTGAGATGAGTTAAAGCCATTAAGCCCTATAGACATGGCTTCTATGTGACCATGGAATTCAAACATGCACGCAGTTTCATATGCGAGGTACTATTTTGGATACAACTTCTGAGCGACTACACAATTGCCTATTGATTGCAGGTTATAAGCGATTAAACCTATAGACATGCTATCTAGGTGATTTACACATTAGTCAGTAGTGATAACCATGAAAGGCATTCAGAATTACTCCATTTGATTCTATAGGCATGCTTTCCAATAGTGGCAACGAAAGAATGTCGAAAGTTCAATATTAGCACTTAGCGAGTAGGATTATCTTATAGGCAGGATTTCTACAATTAGCGATTGAAACTGGTTTTAGCTCATATAGGCATGTCTCCTAAGTGACTAATTATAATAACAACACATTAATCAATTAAAACCCTATACGCATAATTTCTAAAATGCAGATTTGTAGAACATAAGCTATCATGACTCTATGGTCATAATTTTTAATGGACATGTTGTGATGCATATTAAAACACTGGTCACTTTATTTCATGTTGGCATGATATCTAACAAACATGTAGAAACAAAACAAATTAA